ACTAGAGATTCCCGGTGGTCATCTCTGCCTGTCCCTGTCGCCACTTGTTTGTCACCATAGGACTGTTGGGGGTATAGGGGTCCTTATGATGATGAATAGTACGATCAGCTGGGTGATTGCAGCATAGAGTTGATTTTATGTGGTGAGGAAGGAGCACAGGGTGCAACCACACATCTTGGCTCTCCCTTTTCTTGATCCAGTAGTGCAGGTAGCTGCAATGACTGGGGAGGAGTTTTGCAATGGACTGCCGATAGCCCAGTTTGTTGAGTTTATCCTTAGTAGCCTGTTCATCTTGCATTGCTTTCATCCGCTGGTGTATTTGTTGGGTTTTCGTGGTGGTTACCTATCCTGCCGTTGGGATCTTAGTGGAGCTCTGTAAGCATGTCTGCTTGATGCGGGGCTCCACCTCAGATTTTTCGTTCGGGGTTTACTCCCGTAGCCTTATACCTCCCAAGGATAATCTGCAAGGCAGCGGGGCAGTGCTTGGTAGGCGCCAGGGAGTGTCCACATGCCAGTGGGCCTATGCGCCATCCTTTTGGGGCCCACTGCTGCTCCGAGATCCCCTGGTGGTGTAGACTGGGGCCACGAGGCACCCAGTTACCGTGTATTGCCACGAGGAGGCACAGCAGGAGTCTTGATGGTAAAAAGGCTGTGTGCTGACAGGGAAGACTTATGCAAGGCTGCTTCCCTGTTCACCACAAGGGTGAGCCAGCGGTGGTACCTGAAAGCAAGAGGAAGGAAACAGTGTTTGCACCTTAGAACTAACATGATGCTGCCACTGATGCATTACACCACCCAGTGCACACACACACACACACATACACACACACAGTATAAGGTAATCACATCAAGGAGTCACAATCCACGAGGGCCCACTGAATTGTATATAACAACATAACCCTCACAAACACCTTCAGCCAGAACCCAAATTTCATGAATGAAGCTTACCGCTGTGACCTCACCCACGCTCCACCTGATAGCTCTCTCCCTCGCTCCCATTGGTCGAGGGGAGAGTGTCATACATGTTTTGGTTAGATTTTCGAAGCCTGGGTGATGTTTCGTGGCGGGTGGAAGGTCGAGGAAGACTCGCTTTTGTTGACTTTAGCGGTCTGGTTGGGTGTTGTGGAGGTGCGTGACGTGAGGAGAGTGTTTGAGGGCGATATAGGTGTTGATAAGGCAAATTATTAGGCGGTAACTATTAACGGCCGGGGAGAAGGTGAGGAGGTGCTTAGCTCCACCTTCACGCCACGTGCTGCTGCTTCGCTCTCCCATCTCCTCACCTGCTGACCGCTCGTAGAAAGGTGGACGAGCAAGTTTTATAAATGTTGTATCGTTACCAAGACATATAAAAATACAAAAGTTTGTGCTTGAATTTTCGACTGCTAACTTTGCTGTTGTTTCTCAGTGACTTTATAAATAATAATAAAAGCTCGCACACACGAGTACTTCACCAGCCTGGTTCGTGTGGCAGCAAAGGCCAAGGCTTAACGGTGCTGTGTCGACCATATACCCATAAGTAAGAGAAACACCCACAACCACTTAACAGAGCAAAATTCCTGCGAAGAAAAATAAAATAATCACATATATAAATATTACACAGAGGAAAATTAGTGAGTCTTATTAGAGACAGGAAGAAGTTTATAAAGCTGTGGGTGAGTTAAGAGGAGGTGAAGACATACACACACACACTGCAGAGGTCGGTGGTCCTCGACGCAGACGGTGGCGCAGGAGGAGCGTCCCCCCACACACTTTCAGCCACACCGGCCGCGGGCACAATGGTGTACCGCCCGTCGTCGCTCTTACCATTGTTACTCCTGTCCACTGAACTCCTCTCACCAAGTTATTATTTCCTCTCCCCGTCTACCCTCTATCCCTGCTCTCCCTCTCACAACTAATATACGAATAAAAGTTTAACCAACACATTCACGAAGCGAGGATTAAACGCGGTAGCCTCAACAACATTCACACTCAAGTTCTTACTCTTAACTTTGACAAAAAGAACTAGAACGATCATAGTTTCTGGTAGCAGGACGATTAAGTTTTATATAAAATAACAAGAGAGAGAAAGAAGAAGAGAAAGAGAAACAGAGGGGCATTGTTGTTGTTGTGGTAATCACTTGTGGAGGTGACTGTCCACCCCCCACCACCACCACCACTACCCGGTGCCATGATGAAGGCCCTACAGCTAAGGAAGTGTGTTCTACTGGCTCTCACACTCCTCATACCCGCCTCACAAGGTAAGTACTCACACACTCCTTCCTCATAAACTATAACCAGACGTGTTTATAAAGGTAACTCACACACTGTCAGTGTTGTAACTCATAACTGTCAGAGTGCCGTACTTAATCGTAACTCACAAACTATCAGGGATGTAACTCACAGTTAGCACTGTAACTTACAAACTGTCAGACCTGTAACTCACAAGGTATCAGGGCTGTAACTCACAAACGACCAGATCTGTAACTCACAAACTGTTATTACTGTAACTCACAAACTGTTATTACTGTAACTCACAAACTGTCAGGGCTGTAACCCATAAACTGTCAGGATTGTAACTCACAAACTGTCAAAATTGTAATTCACAGTCAGGGTTGTAACTCACAAACAGTCAGGGTTATAACTCACAAACTGTCAAAATTGTAATTCACAGTCAGGGCTGCCGTGCCTAATGGTAACTCACAAACTGTCAGGGCTGTAACTCACAAACTTTCAGGGCTGTAACCCATATACTGTCAGGATTGTGACTCACAAACTGTCAGCATTGTAACTCACAAACTGTCAAAATTTTAACTCACTGTCAAGGCTGTAACTCATAAACATCGACTGAACTCAAACAGTCATGGTATAGTTGGTGTTTTTTGGTACTCTTAAAATCACCGAAGCGTTTGTCCGTACTCAACGACAATCTTGAGTACGTACAGTGCGTCAATGTACTCTAAACAATCAGAACTCATATCATGTAATCACAGATAATCGGGACTCTTATCATATATTCACAAACAATAAGGACTAATCATGTACTCAAAGACAACCAGGACTCATATCATGTACTCAAAGACAACCAGGACTAAAAAAATTAGCTCACCCATAAAAAACACAGTATTACATTATCTATCTATCTATCTATCTATCTATCTATCTATTATCACAAATAACATCAATTTCAATTTCGACCGACACTTAATTTCTATCACAACAAGTTTCGGATTTGTTCCATCGAGGAATTTTGAGTACAGTTCATGTCACCTGTGAATAGCACCCCCCTCCACTCCCCCAGCTTATTTAATTTTAGGATTAGACCCTAGCTTATTTCTCCTTAGTGCAAATCTGACCTCCCAAGTAGTGTTAGGGGGCTAATCCTCAGGTGAAATAAACTAGAGGGGCTAATGAGGTGAATTAATGTAGGGGCTAATCCTCAGGTGAAATAAACTAGATGTGGGGGTAATGTTTTTTTTTTCTACAATTTCGAAGACTTCAGAAGAATATGAAATGGCAAAATAATAATTACAGCGCGTTATGAGATATGTAATGGAAGCTACATAACGTGTGGTAATAATCATAATGAGTCTCCCAAAAATGAGAAATTATTAGTTAGAAATAATTCCCAATACCGATTATTTTTTTCTTCTCTCTCTCTGCACTCTTACGTGTATTGATGGTAGTGAGAGGAGGGAGGGCGGTAATTAGTAGTCTGTAAACGAAGTGACGATGCCTCTCTCCTGATGGTAATAATCAACTTTTAATTTGCCAATCATTTGTCAGAAGTTTAAATTATCCCAAGATAATTAACCCTTAAATTTCGGTGGAAAATTGCAACTTTCTGTGGCCATATTTAGCGAGCGTGAAACTTTGGGTGACATTAAAAATTGGGAAACAAGTTAGAATTATGAGGTAAAGAGTATCTGTAACACGGTACCTTGTTGTATGGGTTTGATGTGAAGGGGTGATGGAGTGAAGAGATGATGGTGGGGAGATGATGATGGTGGGGAGAGGTGATGAAGGGGTGATGGAGGAAGAGATGATGGAGGAAGAGATGATGGTGGGGAGAGGTGATGAAGGGGTGATGGAGGAAGAGATGATGGTGGGGAGGTGATGAAGGGGTGATGGTGAAGGGGTGATGGAGGAAGAGATGATGGTGGGGAGGTGATGAAGGGGTGATGGAGGGAAGAGATGATGGTGGGGGGGGTGATGAAGGGGTGATGGTGAAGGGGTGATGGAAGAAATGATGGTGGGGAGGGTGATGAAGGGGTGATGGTGAAGGGGTGATGGAAGGAAGAATTGATGGTGGGGAGGGGTGATGAAGGGGTGATGGTGAAGAAGGTGATGGTCAGGGGTGATGGTGAAGGGGTGATGGAAGGAAGAATTGATGGTGTGGAGGGGTGATGCAGGGGTGGGGAGAAGAGGGATGATGGTGGGAAGGGGTGAGAGGGAAGGGGTGGTGGAGGGAAGGGTAGAACGAGAGGAGAAGAGAGGAGGGTGATATAAAAAGTTCCTCAAGGTAGCCAGGGAAAGGGGTGAGGATAGGAGGATGGGGGTGGGGGGAGGGTAATGTAGGGCGGTATACGGGGTGCATAAAAATAAGCAGTATTCACCCTTCTCTCTTCCTCCCTCCCTGCTGCCCTCACACCGTCCCTACTGCCCTCACCATCCTTAATGCCTCACACCGTCCTACCTCTCACCGTCCTAATGCCCTCACCGTCCCTACTGCCCTCACACCGTCCCTAATGCCCCCACACCGTCCCTACTGCTCTCACACCGTCCCACTGCCCCCTCACACCGTCCTTAATGCCCTCACACCGTCCCTACTGCCCTCACACCGTCCCCACTCTCCCTCACACCGTCCCTAATGCCCCCACACCGTCCCACTGCCCCCACACCGTCCCTACTGCCCCCACACCATCCACTGCCCCCACACCGTCCCACTTCCCCACACCATCCGTACTGCCCTCACACCGTCCCTACTGCCCCCACACCGTCCCCACTGCCCCTCACACCGTCCCATGCCCTCACACCGTCCCTACTGCTCTCACACCGTCCCTACTGCCCCTCACACCGTCCTAATGCCCTCACACCGCCCCTACTGCCCTCACACCATCCCCTACCCCTCACACCATCCGTACTGCCCTCACACCGTCCCATGCCCCCACACCGCCCCTACTGCCTCTACACTGTCCCACGCCCCCACCGTCCCTACTGCTCTGCACACCGTCCCTACTGCCCTCACACCGTCCCTACTGCCTTCACAGTCCCCACTGCCCCACACCGTCCTAATGCCCCTCACACCGCCCCACTGCCCTCACACCATCCCTGCTGCTCACACCGTCCCTACTGCCCCCACACCGTCCCATGCCCCCCACACCGCCCCTACTGCCCTCACACCTTCCCTACTGCCCCCCCACACCATCCGTACTGCCCCTCACACCGTCCTTAATGCCCCTCACACCGTCCTAATGCCCCCTCCCTCACGCCGTCCCCTACTGCCCTCACACACCGTCCCTACTGCTCTGCATCCTGTCCCTATTGCCTCACACCGTCCTGAGTGCCCTCACACCGTCCCTGCTGCCCCTCACACCGTCCCTGCTGCCCTCACACCGTCCCTGCTGCCCTCCACACCGTCCCTACTGCCCCCACACCGTCCTTGCTGCCCCTCACACCTCCGCACTGCCCCTCACACCGTCCCTACTGCCTCCACACCGTCCCTATTGCCCTCACACCGTCCTGAGTGCCCTCACACCGTCCCTGCTGCCCCCCACACCGTCCCTGCTGCCCCCCCACACCGTCCTCTGTCCCTCACACCGTCCCCTACTGCCCCTCACACACCGTCCATGCTCCCCACACCGTTGTTACCCTCACACCGTCCTCCCTTGCTGCCTCACACCGTCCCTGCTGCCCCTCACACCGTCCCTGCTGCCCTCACACCGTCCCCTGCTGCCCTCACACCGTCCCTACTGCCCTCACACCTCCCTTGCTGCCCTCACACCGTTGCATGCCCTCACACCGTCCCTGCTGCCCCTCACGCCGTCCCTGCTGCCCTCACACACCGTCCCTGCTGCCCTCCACACCGTCCCTGCTGCCTCCACACTGTCCCTGCTGCCCCCACACCGTCCCTGCTGCCCTCACACCGTCCCTGCTGCCCTCACACCGTCCCTACTGCCCCTCACACCGTCCCAACTGCCCCCCACACCGTCCCCTGCTGCCCCCCACACCGTCCCTACTGCCCTCACACCGTCCCTGCTGCCCTCACACTGTCCCTGCTGCCCCCACACCGTCCCTGCTGCCCTCCACACTGTTCCTACTCACCCCACACCGTCCCTGCTGCCCCCACACCGTCCCTGCTGCCCTCCACACCGTCCCTGCTGCCTCACACCGTCCCTGCTGCCCTCCACACTGCTCCCTACTCACCCCACACCGTCCCTGCTGCCCCCACACACCGTCCCTGCTGCCCCCTCACACCGTCCCTGCTGCCCTCACACCGTCTCTGCCGCCTCACACCGTCCCTGCTGCCCTCCACACACGTCCCTGCTGCCCCCTCCACACCGTCCCCTGCCCTCACACCGTCCCTACTGCCCTCACACCGTCCCTGCTGCCCCACACCGTCCCCGGCCTCCACACCGTTCTACTACCCTCCACAGTAGCCAACCATAACTGCTGGGTCACCCCGTGGCCTCGTGGACCTCCTCCTCCTCCTCTCTACCTCACTATATTTTCTTATTTAATGAAGAACTTGCCATATTATTTACGCTGACAGCACCTCAGCTCTCCTCCCCCACACCGGTATTGATTAGCCATAGTCAAGCCGTATAATGAATAGAAAAGCTCTATTACTGGCTAGAGCCGCTACTAGTAATAATTAACTACATCATTATAGCAGACGAGGAAGCTTTGTAGAGCAGAAAGCTGCCCATCCCTGTTAGATAATTAAAAACGTGTTAATGACAGGTAGATGTGGGAGGGAGGCGAGGGTACAGGTGGATGAGGGAGGGTGAGGTACAGGTGGATGAGTTAGGCGGAAGGTACAGGTGGATGAGTGAGGAGGGTACAGGTGGATGAGAGAGGCAGAGGGCAGGCGGATGAAGGAGTAAGGGTACAGGTGGATGAAGGAGGGAGGGTACAGGTGATTAAGGGAGGATGGTACAGGTGGATGAGGGAGATGATGGCACAGGTGGATGAAGGAGGTAAGGGTACAGGTGGATGAGTTAGGCAGTGAATAGGTGGATGAGTGAATGAGGGAAGTACGTTACAGATACCATGAGAGAAACACGTCACATGTTATTATTGAAGGTATACGATAACGAGTACCTTACCGACGACCTTCTGCCAGCTGCCACTGTCAACAAATCATCACAAGAGAGCGTAAGAGAATAATAAAGAATAAATTACATGCAAGAACGAAAAAAAAAATGACTATCGGAAAGTTAATGAAGACATAAGAAGAGATGAATGTTTCCCTAGTGGTTATTATTATTAGTGTAGGTGTGTGTTGTGGAGATGACTACACACACACACACATACATATACAACCACGCATATAAACACACACACACATACATACACACACACACATACAACCACGCACACACACACACACACACACACACACACACACACACACACACACACACACACACACACACACATACAACCACGCAAACACACGCACACACACACAAAATGCATACACACGAACACACACACGGACAACACATACATATACGCACACACATACTTGCATACACAAACACAGACAGATACACACACACATATACACACACAAACACATGTACAGACAGACAGACAGACAGACAGACCCACAGACAGACAGAGACGCGCACACACACAAACAAACACACACGCACGTACGCACACACACACACATATACACACACACACATACACACACACACAAATACATACACACACGGACACAAACACACACACACACACACACACACACACACAGATATACACACGCACATATAGACACGCACATACACACACATACAAAACAATGGACAGACAGACAGACAAACAGACAGACAAACAGACATACATACACATACATACACGAAGATACACACACATGCACACACTCACATGCACGCACGCACATTCACATACATACACACGCACACATAGACACACACATTTACACGCACCACACACAAACATACACAAACAAAAACACACACACAAGTACAGACAGACAGACAGACACATGTGCCCAAACACACACAAACATAGACACACACACACACACACACACACACACACACACACACACACACACACACACACACACACACACACACACACACACACACACACACACACACACAGCAGCACCACCAACAATATGAAATGCCTGCCTGTATTAGATATAAGTAGCAAGTACACCGCCCCATCTCCCCTAGTGATGGTCCAGCCCCAGTGATGGTCCTGCCCCTAGTGATGGTCTGACCTGAGTGATGGTCTGTCTAGTAGCCTGGTCCTGGCCTAAGTGGTGGCTTGGTCCTGTCCCCCTAGTGGTATGGTCCTGTCCCTAGTGATGGTCCTGCCCTAGTGGTAGTCTGGCCCTAGTGGTGGTCCTGCCCTAGTGATGGTCCTGCTCCTGTAGTGAAGGTCCTGCCCTAATGGTCCTGCCCCAAGTGATGGTCCTGTCCCTAGTGATGGTCTGTCCTAGTGATGGTCCTGCCCTAGTGATGGTCACTGCTCTAGTGATGGTCCTGTCCTAGTGATGGTCCTGCTCCTAGTGATGGTCCTGCCCTAGTGATGGTCCTGCTAGTATTGGTCCTGCCCCCAAGTGATGGTACTGTCCCTAGTGATGGTCCTGTCCTAGTGATGGTCCTGCCCCTAGTGATGGTCCTGTCCTAGTGATGTCACCGCCTAGTGATGGTCCTGTCCCTAATTTGATCCGTCCTGTCCCTAGTGATAGTCCTGTCCCTAGTGATGGTCCTGCCCTAGTGATGGTCCTGCCCCTAGTGGTCCTGCCCCTAGTGATGGTCCTGCCCTAGTGATGGTCCTGTCCTAGTGATGGTCTGTCCTAGTGATGGTCTGCCCTGAAAAAGTGATGGTCTGTCCTAGTGATGAAGTGCTGTCTAGTGATGGTCCTGCCCTAGTGATGGTCCTGCCCTAGTGATGGTCCTGTCCTATTGTTAAATTCTGTCCCTAGTGATGGTCTGCCCTAGTGATGGTCTGTGCTAGTGATAGTCCTGTCCCTAGTGGTCACCCTAGTGATGGTCCTGCCCTAGTGATGGTCCTGCCCTAGTATTGATGGTCCTGCCCCTAGTGATGGTCCTGTCTAGTGATGATTCTGTCCCTAGTGATGGTCCTGCCCCTAGTGATGGTCCTGTCCCTAGTGATGGTCCTGTCCCTAAGTGATGGTCCTGTCCCTAGTGATGGTTCTGTCCCTAGTATTAGTCCTGCCCTAGTGATGGTCCTGTCCCTAGTGATGGTCCTGCCCCTAGTGATGGTCCTGTCCCTAGTGATGGTCCTGTCCCTAGTGATGGTCCTGTCTAGTAGTCCTGCCCTAATTGTTAGTCCTGTCCCTAGTGGTGGTCCTGTCCCTAGTGATGGTCCTGGCCCTAGTGATAGTCTGTCCTAGTATTGGTCCCCACCCCTAGTGATGGTCCTGTCCTAGTGATGGTCCTGTCCTAGTGATGGTCTGTCCTAGTGATGGTCCTGCCCCTAGTGATGGTCCTGTGCCCTGGTGATGGTCCTGGCCCTAGTGATGGTCTGCCCTGGTGATGGTCCTGCCCTAGTGATGGTCCTGCTTGTGATGAAGATTCCTGCCCCTAGTGATGGTCACCATCCTAGTGATGGTCTGTCCTAGTGATGGTCCTGCCCTAGTGATGGTCCTGTCCCTAGTAGTGGTCCTGTCCTAGTGATGGTCCTGTCCCTAGTGATGGTTCTGTCCCTAGTGATGGTCCTGCCTAGTGATGGTCACAACCTAGTGATGGTCCTGCCCACAGTGATGGTCCTGTCCCTAGTGATGGTCCTGTCCCTAGTGGTCCTGTCCTAGTGATGGTCCTGCCTAGTGGTCCTGTCCCTAGTGGTGGTCTGTCCCTAGTGATGGTCCTGTCCTAGTGATGGTCCTGTCCCTAGTGATGGTCCTGCCTAGTGACCCTGTCCCTAGTGATGGTCCTGTCCCTAGTGATGGTCTGTCCCTAGTGATGGTCCTGCCTAGTGATGGTCTGTCCTAGTGATGGTCCTGTCCCCTAGTGGTCCTGTCTAGTGATGGTCCTGCCCCTATTTGGTGGTCCTGTCTAGTGATGATTACTCGCCTAGTGATGGTCCTACTAGTGATGGTCCTGCCCTATTGGTCCTGTCTAGTGATGATTTTTGTCTAGTGATGGTCCTGCCCCTAGTGATGGTCTGTGTGCCTGGTGATGGTCTGTCTAGTGATGGTCCTGCCCTAGTGATGGTACACCCTAGTGATGGTCCTGCCCCTAGTGATGGTCACCTAGTGATGGTCCTGTCCCTAGTGATGGTCCTGTCCTAGTGATGGTCCTGCCCTAGTGATGGTCCTGGCCTAGTGATGGTCCTGTCCTAGTGATGGTCTGTCCTAGTGATGGTTCTGTCCCTAGTGATGGTCCTGCCCCTAGTGATGGTCCTGTGTCCTAGTGGTCCTGCCCCTAGTGATGGTCCTGTCCCTAGTGATGGTCTGTCTAGTGATGGTCCTGTCCTAGTGATGGTCCTGCCCTAGTGATGGTCCTGTGTCCTGGTGGTGGTCTGTCCTAGTGATGGTCCTGTCCCTAGTGATGGTCCTGTCCTAGTGATGGTCCTGCCCTAGTGATGGTCCTGTCTAGTGATGGTCCTGTCTAGTGATGGTCTGTCCCTAGTGATGGTCCTGCCCCTGATGATGGTTCTGTCCCTAGTGATGGTCCTGTGTCCTAGTGTTGATTACAGCCCTAGTGATGGTCCTGCCCTAGTGATGGTCCTGTCCTAGTGATGGTCAGCCCCTGGTGATGGTCAGCCCCTAGTGATGAAGTGCTGCCCTAGTGATGGTCCTGTCCTAGTGATGGTCCTCCCCAGATGGTCCTGTCCCTAGTGATGGTCCTGTCCCTAGTGATGGTCCTCCCCTAGTGATGGTCCTGTCCCTAGTGATGGTCCTGTCCCTAGTGATGGTCCTGCCCTAGTGATGGTCCTGTCCCTAGTGATGGTCCTGTCCCTAGTGATGGTCCTGTCCCAGTGATGGTCCTGCTCCCTAGTGATGGTCCTGCTCCCTAGTGATGGTCCTGTCCCTAGTGATGGTCCTGTCCCCATGATGTCCTGCCCCTAGTGATGGTCCTGTCCCTAGTGATGGTCCTGTCCCCAGTGATGGTCCTGTCCTAGTGATGGTCCTGTCCCTAGTGATGGTCCTGTCCCTGGTGATGGTCCTGCCCTAGTGATGGTCCTGTCCCTAGTGATGTCCTGTCCCCAGTGATGTCCTGTCCCTAGTGATGGTCCTGTCCCCAGTGATGGTCCTGTCCCTAGTGATGGTCCTGTCCCTAGTGATGGTCCTGTCCCTAGTGATGGTCCTGTCCCTAGTGATGGTCCTGTCCCTAGTGATGGTCCCCTCCCTAGTGATGGTCCTGTCCCTAGTGATGGTCCTGTCCCTAGTGATGGTCCTGTCCCTAGTGATGGTCCTGTCCCTAGT